CGTATGTGTGTGTAGCTTCATGTAGGTATAAAATTAAGGACGTATGTGTGTGTACCTTCATGTAGGTATAATATTAATGACGTATGTGTGTGTACCTTCATGTAGGTATAATATCAATGTCGTATGTGTGTGTACCTTCATGTAGGTATAATATCAATGACGTATGTGTGTGTACCTTCATGTAGGTATAATATTAATGTCGCATGTGTGTGTACCTTCATGTGTGCATAATACTCATACATATTGCAGTGTGTGTGTGCTGTATAGGCGCACAGTGAGTGACTGTGATGTGGGGTGTGCATGCCTCATTGATCCATTTTAACCATCTTTTCAACATGGATACGTCTGTCGCGGCTGGAAGCTTTATTCATGCATAGTGTGGTACGCTAGTATAACGTATGTAGTTGTATGTATAGTATAGCACGCTAGTGTAACGTATGTAAATGTGCTGTATAGTGCGCACACACGTCCCGGTGGTGAATCTCTTGTATGCTACATTGATGATATTTACATTGACGGCGTTTAACATCAATAGCGTATGTCTATCTGTATGCAAAACTCAGATACATCCATACAGTTTTATGTAAGATATGCACAGACTATATTGGTTGTGCTATACAGAGCACACATATGCTATACAGAGCACACACAACCCGATGACGTGAGTGGTAGATACCACATGGATCGCATATGCCCCCTTTTAAACAGGCAAAGTATAGCTACTTCTGCACCGACGGTGTGGTCTGACCTTTGCGCTGCGTCCCTCACCACTATCACCAAGTGCACTATCTTGCACCACCCCGAGTGGTTACGTATCACCTGTTTGGAGTCAAACGGTCCTTGTTGGGGACAACGGGTACGGGTACCACCTTTCAGAATTGTTGCACTGTGCTATACTTTGACCATTAGTTCTGGTACGAGACTGGACACCACCCGGCTGACGTATCAAACAAGTCCACCAACAACAATGCCATTGAAAGCAGAGGTAGTCACAGTGGGTGGCACGTTGACAAGGTAGTCACAGTCGTAGCGATCACCCACATACGAGCGGTAGGTGCCCCTGCCACACGTACGATAGTCTGTCTCTGACGGGGTGCGGTCTAACCTGCGCGTTCTGTGCCTCTGCAGTGCAACATCTCACACAACCCAGACGAACTACTGGACAACAACTACCTGGAGATGAAGGGAGCCGATGCGCAGATCACCACTCTGGTGGACGGCCGCTTCTTCAACCCCATGACCACTGAGGCAGTGGTGACCATCTACGTGCCTAAGATAGATTGCTTCTTCCGCGCGCCCCCCTCGAGCTCCTTCTACCAGCCCACGCCTCAGGTGGAGGATACACACGGGTATGGGGTTTGGGAGTTTAGGGGTTTAGAGAGGGGTTTAGAGAGGGGTTTAGTTGGTTTATGGTTTAAAGACTCGGGTTTTAGGGTTTTAGGGGTTTGGGGCTTTAGGTTCCTAAGTATTTCACCCCAGAACTAGGTTGAGGATATGTTTTAAGCGCGGTTAGAATTTTCGGGTATTTTTGTACCAAGATTTAGGGATCTAGAATTTTCCTCAAGCCGAGGGTACAAACGGGCAAGCGGGTTTTAGGTTAGGGCATTTTAGGTTCTAGGGTTTAGACCCCAGATTCACACACACACATCACACAAACAATACACACACACACACACATACACACACAGAGACACACATACACACACACACACACACACACACATACACACACATACACACACACACATATAT